TCACTTCTAGAGTATCGTAGTTTTGACAACTATAACCCTTACCTATAGAAAAGTACGTTTTATATTTTAATTAATTAATTTATTATTTATTTAGGTCCACCTGCTCAAGTTCATTTGTGGACATTACCATGTGAAGAGAACAAGTTCTGATTTATCACACTAGTAGCTAGTATATAGTTTGAGGAAGCAGAAGAATAATGGGCCCCTTGCGGTGAAGAAGAATAGTGGCCAACCCATGTGTTTATTTTTAATGCTTTTGTTAGTGAATGTCTCCAATGAGAAAAGGTTGGAAACATCTAATGAACCCCAACAGAAACAAGACAAACTCGAGCTGTTAAATGCAGTCAAGTTTGTAGAAAACTGAATGTCTGATTGACTTGAGGCTGTTGTGGTGAAGAATTTAGATGGGCCATTCAGTTGAATTTTTTTATAATTTTTCGAATCAATAGGCATGGGCTCTCATATGGGTTGTTTCTATTTGCTACATCGTGTTAACTGTTAAAGAAGGTGAACAAGGATAAGCTTTAACTCCAAAAAATCTCTATGTGGGGACAATACCTCTCATGGTAGTTTTCTTTTTTTAAACTTTACATGCATTCCTATAAACCTTTTGATCCATTTACTGCATTTTTTTTTTAAATTTCCACATCAATGCAAATCTACAATATTTTATCAAAATAATATAGTGAGACAGGCAAAAAAATTGTGAGTATATTATTCAAGTCACAAAAGGGTGAATGCATATTTGCTTAAGGGACGAATAAGTGTATGCTACATGGCGTTCAGCTAAAAACTCACATAGAGAAATAAAATAGTGCAAGTTGCACATACTAACATGCACTACTTAAACACACATAATCCATGCACGGCATTATTTTGGTTTTTGGACTTGCATTGATTCAATAAAAGCTTTGGAATTTTGTGTTAAATGGGTCAAAAGGTCCACCGGTAAGCTCTCAAGTGAATTCTTATCAATATATGTGAGTGTTAAGGAACACTGGCCAAAGTGTCACTGTTAGTAAAAAAATTACCAAACTGCCACACTAATAGAAAATTTTGCCAAAATGTCACGTAGCATATTTCGCTACACAAGCGAAATATGCCACGTCAGAACCAAAAATGTCATGTGTCAAAATTGGAGAAATTCGCTACTCTATGTAGCGAATTTCTCCAATTTTGACACATGGCATTTTTGGTTCTGAGCATTATGACGTGACATATTTCGCTACAGTGTAGCGAATTATTTGCACACATATTTCGCTACACAGTGCAGCGAAATATGTCACGTGACATTTTGGCAAAATTTACTATTGATGTGGCAGTCTGATAATTTTTTTTGCCAACAGTGACAAAATGGTCATTGTTCCGAGTGTTAATCAGTTTATTGTAATGATCAACACTGTCACACTGAACGGTTCTTATTTTTTTTTCGTTTTTTAGATATTCATACCCATGATGATCAACACTGTCTCATGGGTATGAATACCTAAAAGATGAAAAACTCACCTAAAATTGTGTTAAAGTTTGGTAGAGATAACTTTGTCATTTATGTGGTTCTACCCGACTTCAAACTTCAATAGGACTAGTTATCCAAAAAAATTAAAAATGAAAAACTGAGGTATTTTCAGATCCTACTGAGATAGGATATATCTACACGTTTTACATTATTTTCTATGGCTTCTGTGTAGGCAAGGGATTGTAGATATGTCGTCAAAAGCTTTACAGTGGTACTAGCTTGTTGGTGTTTGATATATATAAAACCGATATTATACCTTTGCCTAATAACTTAAAGTCTCTATGGTTAAGTAATTAGATTTAGAAGTTCAATCTTTTTTTGTCGCTTCCCCGTTTTATATTGGTCTTGACACTTGACACCTTTCTATCTATCTGAATTCTGAAGTGTCCTATAAAGGTATGTTTACGTGATTTTTACATTTTCTTATAACTGTAGGGCTTAATCATGAGGGGTGTACGGCACTATTATTGATGAAGTAAAAGAAAACAAATCATTGAAGACGTTTCAGAATTTGACGCTAGCTTTTGAGGATTGGAGATTCTTGCACATAAATTTTGTGCGCAGACTTTCAGATAGAGGAACCTTTATACCATTGACATTGATGAATGAGAGAAAAAGAAAGAATGAAATGGGTGGACTAGAATGGTGTTGATTTGATTTATATGAGTTAATATGAGTTGTTGTTTTTTACGTGCAAACATTACTCTTTATAGATATTGTAGTCTTAAGTACTCTTAACCTCTCTGAGTCATATACCCTACAAACTTCTAGGTCTGCCGTAAGTTCTTTAGGGGTGTAATCTGCAGTGTATTCGGCCTATTTTTATTTCTCCCCCCTCTAAAATATCTACTGTTTATTTTGGACTTTTCTTCGGTCTTCGACAGTACTTGTTTTGTTCAGAACGGGTAAAATCATAATGCAGTAGTTTACCGTAACTTCATGTTCATGGCCTATAACAATTAGTCAGAGTCTAGGCTTTAGTATGAAGACCCAGTTCTGTATTATTATTTTTATTTTTCACAACTTACATGGGTATAATTTAAGGGGGAAAAACGTTTGTTCTTTTAAATGACACAACTTGTGTTATTTTAGTCTCACAAAAGGATGAAACCTATACTTTTATTTTTTCACTTTCTTTCTCTCATTTAAAATGATACAACTTCACATCCTTTGAGATGACAAACACTTTTCTCCTAATTTAATCACAATTTTTTTTTTCTCCTTGTAATACTATTTCCTCCGTTAAATCTCACCCAAAAGTGTTCCTAATCAAATTTTAAATCTCATTTCTCTAATTTTTTTTAATGTGAAATATCACCCCTCTAATTTGAAGTTCCAATAAGAGATTTGTTACCATGTACAATTTGTACCTTTGGGCATAAATAGAAAATTACAAAAAAATATCATGATTGTAAAAAAGGTGTCGCAACATGTTTTATCAACAAATTAGTAAGTTCACAAAGTGATGCCATTTCGGAAAACTTACACATATGTTTCTGCGACTAAATTTTATTTATATATAATATATATTAATAAAACTTACTAAGAAAATGTTTCACTTTTCTACCAATATAATAATCTGTTTTTTAAGAACTTACGACCCAAAAGAATATCAAAGTTTGCATTGAGAACATGTTCCTTGAGACTTGCTCTATTTTAATTTTAGTTTTTCTACGTAAAAATATAGGAAGAGATATGGTTGTCCAATTTCGAACCTCCCCAGTACCACCTTTGGGAGGGGTTTAAAGCCTTAATCCTGGACCCGTCCCGAATCGGACTAATCGCAAAGCGATGAACCAATGAAATATTTCCAAAAAAAACTGAAACAATTTACTCTGTTCACGTGGCTTAATAATTAGTTTCCAACTGGTACGAACTGTATTATAGTTTGGTGATACTGACAGAAATGATTTGATTGTAATTTGTTTTTTTTTGGCTTCTTCATAATTATTTACATCTATTTTGACGAGACTAATCCCTACGTCAAAAAATTTGCCACTAATCCAAGTTATTTCATGATTCAAACTAACACCTTTCGACCCTGATAGATAGTTACATCAAGAACTTTGTGGCTCTAAGCTTAAGCATGTGCAGAGCAACAGTCATTTGTATGATCTCATCATTTCTCTACGTGGATCTGACCCAATATAGCAACTTTAAAAGTAATATTTATGCAACCATCTTCAGATAGAGGGGTGGTGGTGACCTTGTGGGGTGCCATGGAGTTGAGGTGCTTTCTCTTTGATGGGCCCTACTCATCTGAAGTTATAAGTTTAGGGGCAAGTTGTCAATCACAAACATTGAATCAGTGGGCCATAGGAGGATTTAACTTCTTTGCTATTTTAAGAAAAGACAACGTTAGTTACAACATCTATATTTGCAAATGTGTCAGATGAACAGGATAATGAACCTTACATCACATGAAGGATTCAGTGTAAGATACTCAACCCACAAAAGAAGATAAATTTGCATCAGTTAAATTTGTTGGCTAGCTGCGTTAAATTTTCACCAAAGAGTTAAGAAAGTGTGTTTCATGAAAATTCTTCTTCACTCAGATTCAGTATTTTCCTTGCTTATAGATCACAGCAAGTGGAAAGGAAAGGAAAGAAAAGAACTTGATAATCTAAGATGAAGGCTCAAAATAGAAAGCAGTTAATGACCTTTCTACCTTTATCTTCATCAAGTTTTGGGATTGCCATATGTAGCCAAAAACTATTGGTTGTAACTCAAATGCGGGCTCATGCAGCCACCCCTATATGCCACCGTTCGTCCTTGGTCACTATATATATATATATATATATATATATATATATATATATATATAGGCAGGATTCTTTGACACCTCATATGAGAACCGTTAAATAAAAAAAGATCAGATGTGACACCATTAATCTCTTTTTTTGATCTAACAGCTCTCAGATGAGGTGTCAAATTTCAAATTTGACACTGGTGTCAAAGAATCCTACCTCATATATATATATATATATATATATATATATATATATATATATATATGACAATGAAAATAAAACACTTCGCTGCTAATCAATGACATAAGCTTCTTTGCCAAAAGAAGGAAAAAATACGGTCACAAATTACCTTAATATCTTGGAAAAAAAAAAAACTAAAATGTAAAAGAGAGATAGAGAGATTGAAAGTGAAGTTGAAATTCTAACATTGAACTTGATCACTGAAGTACGGTACAAGTTACATATGTATAAGCTGAATGAACATTGGAATTTTTTTTCAAAGAAAAAAAAAAGTGAAAGCCTCATCATCCTTGGTGTTAAAAAAAATGACCAATCACATAAAAAAAAACTTTGGTCTAATTCGGAGAGGGCTGATCTGTCTCTGTGCTATCTGCTTTTTTCTTTTTTGTGTGAGTATTTTTACAAGATATTGTTATTTTGTTTGTACAATAACAAATTCCTGAGGCCTAAAAGAAAGCAGCACTGCTTGTTATGTCTTTGAAGGTTTAAGCAATTTAGAATTGGGAAATGCAACGTCTATGACAAGCAGTAGTGCGCTGCTTCTTTTGCTTAGTCTCTTGTTTCCATACTTTGCCAATATCTTGAGCAATTCTCACAGCATCAGATGAAGCACCAGAGAGCCCTGTCTTTGTAAACCCAACAGCATAAAGCCCAGCATTTCCTTTCCAACCATGAGGGAATGGCATCTTTGGGTATCCATTCTTGGAGAAGAATTCACCTTCCTGTACATAACATAACCAAAACAAGGTTAGTTCCACTTCTCCACAGACAAAAATAAATAAATATAATAGTTACTGTTGAAATACAAATAAAAGAAGCTTCTAAAACAGGATCAATACTTTGAGGTTAAAACTTTAGGGGATGGGAAAAAAGGACAAAATCAATCTACCCAAAAAGCTTTCAGAACTGACAATCTTCTGTGATGAAAATATTAGGAGGAAAAAAAAAACCCTTTTTTTATTGAAAAAAATATAGACACCAGTGACTGTCTTTTTATGATAGAGGAAAATTTTAAAAACAACCAATTTACAACATTTTCTCACCTGAAGCCAAGAAGGGACATTGCTGCGGTATCCGGTTGCAAGCACCACTGCATCAATGTCAAGCTTTTCACCGTTAACAAGCTCAACTTCTCCATTGTTAAACCTCTTGATTCCTGGTACCACTTTTATGTCACCGGATCTAATTTTCTCCAAGGTACCAATGTCCAAAACAGGGGTCTTCCCCTTTGTGTTCTTCAGAACCAATGGACCTGTGGATGGCCTTTTTATCCCATACTTCTCTATGTTACCCAGAACAAACCATGCCATGATCAATAGAAGCTTGTCAACAAACCAAATGGGAAGCCATCGCAGCATCAAAATCGCCAATTCAAACGTTGATTTCCCAAAGATTTCTCTTGGTAAAACATGAACCTGCGTGCCCAAAAAAAAAAATTGATCAACCCCAGTTAGATTTCATCCTCAAAATTTACTCTTTTTTATTCCAATGAAAGAGATTTTTATCGAAAAAAACATAAACCAAACAATGCCAACAACACTTACCGAACTACGAACAACCATTGATGGTGAGGCATGGTGGTTGCAGAGGTCAAGTGAAACCTCCATGCCAGAATTGCCACAACCAACAACTAGAACTTTCTTTCCCCTGAAACTTTCCCCTGACTTGTACTCACAAGCATGAACAACATCACCTTTGAATTCACCTAAGCCTTCAATATCAGGCTTAACACACTCTGCATTTTCACCAGTGGCCACAACAAGCCACCTACAAATGTACTCAACCTCATTTCGGGTTGAACCACTTGAAGAAACGGTCTTAACCCTCCACAATCCACTGGTTTCATCATACCTAGCAGACTGAACACACTCATTGAATTGAGGGTTGATCTCAAAATGGTTTGCGTATGATTCAAGGTAATCTATGAACTGTCTCTTTGTGGGGTATTCAGGGAAGTCTTGAGGGAATGGAAGGTTAGGGAGTTGGCAAAATTGCTTTGGAAGATGAAGCTTCAACCTATCATAGGTACGTTTTTGCCATAGTGAGGCTATGCAATCTGCTCTTTCAAGAACCATGAAGGGCACTCCTTGTTCTCTAAGGCATGCTGCTGTGGCTAACCCAGATGGGCCTGCCCCTACAATCACAGGGCCATTCACCCAAATGCAACGCCTTGAGAAGAAGTCTTCATGATCAACAACGCGAAACAAGTTCTCCATTCTGATATATGTATATATATGTAAGAGAGGTTCTTCTGTTTTTTGTGGGATTTGGGTTTGCTCAAGAAGTGGGAAAGATTGTGTCTTGGATGAAAGTGGTTTGAAGTTGAGATAGAGAAAGTGTTGGTTTGTGATTGAGAGAAACTTTGCTTATGGAATATTGAGAATGTGAGTTTTGAATTGAATGGAGAATGAGGAAGGGGTTGAAGTGCTTAAATAGGGGAATTGGGTATGATAGGTGCATGTGATGGTGTGGGAGTTTGTGCTCTTTATTCTTCCCTTGTTAGAGTATGCATTAATTATAATTTGCGCGTTACAAAATTGCATTATTCTATATGTGTTCTTATGTAGTTTTGTATCTTTATTTTTTATTAATACAAATAAAGTGTCAAAATGAGATTTAGATTATGATGTGCAAATATAATTTTTAATTGTTATATCATAAGTCTGTGTCATTGACAATCTTTTTATTATTTTAAAACATTAACTTTTTTGGGTATGTGAATATTTTATAACAGTATATTCTGTCCGATTATTTTATTGGATCTTACTACGTTATAATTGTTAAAGAATTGCGCAAGGATTAGCATATAATTTTTTGTGGGGATTTATTCTTTCATCATTCACAATCACAAGGGGGCTTCCTTTTCTTTCTTTCTTTTATAAAAGTATATGGATTTTTGCAATATACAAATTAAGTTAGGTAGCAATTAATACTGGTGAAGGTATGGGATTTTCATGTATTCAATATTCAAGTATGACATTATCATGCATCACTAATAATTAATAAATAATTATAAAAAAAATAGACCCGAATTTTTTTTATATAATGTTATTATATAAAAATTTAACATAAAAGGATTTATTTCCGATATAACTGTTTAACACTTGACCCGGGCCGATTTGTAAAGTCTCATAAAAGAAGTGACCGCTTGCAAGCGTACGTACCATCGTTTTAGGTATGATTTACAAGATTATGTTGGAAAGGGAAGGGGTCTATAATAATAAACATAGTCAAACATAAGAAGAATAAGGAGGCAATGATGAATTGATGATGACATGTCATCCTCGCCTGATTCTTTTGGGTCCATATACAGGAGTGAATGGAAGCTCAATGAATCAAGAAAATAGATAAATAAAAAGCAAGACATAGTATAATTGATACAAAAGCTTAACATTCTTGGTTCGTTTAATAAAAATGGAAATATTTCATTTCAAAAGCTTAAATTTTGCTATACATAAATGATATGTAAATATTACTTTAGTCTTTATTGAGAATTATAATATGTTCTGGGTATTTCAAAAATAAATAAATAATATGTTCTGGTTTTCAAACAAAATAACTTCTGCAAACTTTTATTTACAAAAAATAATTTACAAAAGGAGGGAGATATATAGATGTACGTGATAGATCCTTTTATGTGTAAATTTTAAAATTTATTTATCTCTCTTTGTAAATATTAATTGATCCAAACCTATTTAATGCTAACGAAGAGAAAGATAAACACAAAATTTTCATTATGACCGAGTCATGTGAATTTTTTTTTTTCCAGATCCCATGATTCTAATTATTTATTTAGAACAAGTTAGGTCCCCTGTATCCCCACAATTCATATAGGGAAAGAGGCCTATACATGTATGAGATTAATCCCAAATCGAGCAAGATGACAATGATTCGACTCATATCTAAAGATTCTTTTCAGGATTCCCTCTTTTAACCGTTCTTCTATCCCTTATATTGTCACTTGAGTTAATCCTTGATCATTGTGAAATTTTAACATTGAAGGTCTACTTCCGAAGTGAATCTTTGGTACAACACATGTATCATACATCTTGACCAAAAAAAGTAAACTTTTGGATTTGTTGGGAAATTAAATAAGAGAAAAGATTTAGATTTAAATGGGAGTAACATTTCTCAATACGAGTAAATGATGTACAGTACTCGATACAGCAGCAGCACCCAATAAATTTTCTCACTTCCAATATAAATGGATGATGAGGTGGTAGGGAGAGTGCTCACTAAGTAAATATTATAGAAATATAAAATTAATTGATGGACCTTCACTTAAAGCTTTAGCTATTGGGTTGAGATGATTGTTTTACATGGTATTATAGCTTTCGTGATCATGGGGTTACGAGTTTGATCCTCCCCACATCCATTTTTTAGTGGAATTAAGTTAGCACAAGTTAGAAAGAAAAAAAATAAACTTTTATAATATATATGTTTCAAATTCAAAAGGCTCTTGCATGATGGGACGTGTTAGAACCATCACTTAATAACTTGAACTTTTCTGTGAGATGATTGTTTGTCAAGATATCAAAGCCTCTATGACCATAGGATCATGAGTTTAATCCTCATTATCCTTCACTTTCTAGTGGAATTAAGTTAGCACTGAGATAAAAAAAAAAAAAGGATTTGTGTACTATCTACGCTTCAAGTTCATTCGCTTTTGTGTGAGGAGACATGTTAGAGAGATATAATATAAAATCATTGATAAGGCCTTCAGTTAATAACTTAAGTATTTAGGTAAGATGATTGTTTACATAATATCAAAGCCTTCGTGACTACAGAGTCACAAGTTCGATCATCATTATTCCCTATTTTATTAATAAATAATTAACTATTATAAATTTTTTTATTTTTTTTGGTAAATATATTATAAATTTTTTTAACACAATTATAAATGGGTTTTATAATTCTCATGTTGAAGGAGAATTGAAATCTCACGTTGTAGAGACAAAAAAACATGTGGGACCCATGTGTTAGAAAAAATTATATGTAGGACCCATGTCAACACGGAAATCGAAGGGTGTGTAGGAAAATTGTAATTCTCATGTTAAATATATATATATATAATCATTAATGAGTTTTCACTTAAAAACATGAGATGTTGGGTTTAGAAGCTTGGTTTGAAAGCCATTACGCACGTGTAGCTAGTGGCAATCTGGAATGAGAGCCGCGGGTGATGCTATACGCTGGAGAAGCAGGACCCAAGCGCCAACCCGTTTTCACACACCACCGATGCCACCTGTCACTCAAGCCATTTGGCTTCTTCACTAACTTTCATTCTCCTTTCTCCTTCCAACCAAACTAAAAAATTTTCCTTTCATGGTATTTATTTTCTTGCTTTTGAATTTCTCCTCTTCAACAGCATTCCAAAATAATTTAGCAAATAGCTACTTTACATAATAGAAGACAAGTCAGCAAAGGAAGAAAAACTTTTATGCTCACAATACATTTTGCATTTATTAAATTTAGTAAGAGGTTGATAATTAATTACGTTTGTAAGAAATAAATAATACTAGTTCAAAGTGAGGAGTCAAGAAAATGATTAAAAAAATTAAAAAAAAATTACACGCGTAGTACTACAATCTAGAGTAGATAGTTCTTTAGTTTGGATTTTGGACTATTAGCTAGCTTTTTACTACATAATCCAATCATCCTATTGGCAATTAGCACGTGTAGTTTCACCTTCATGTACTTTAATTGGAAGGACATATGAATCTGTGAGTTAATGTGCGTGATATACTTAACTGGTACGTGGAAGTCCGATAAATGATTGAAGCATGTCACTTTCGGTGTGTTGTAAATAATCTTATATAATTCAATGATAAAGTATACTAATTAAATTAAAGTAGGTATTAACAAGCCTCTTTAATGAGTAGACAGTGAATAACTGTTATTAATAAATTGAACTACCGAACTAGCTCTCTATAGTTAATTAGGTTTTGAATAGTGTTAACTCCTAATTTCCAAGAGGGCCATATACATGCAAGTACAACTATGTGGCAACATATGAAGAGCTTTTTTTACGAAAAATCATGGAGTACCCCACTTCTCCACTTTGAGAAGTGGTTAAAATTTCATGGGAAGGAGAGGGAAGCATGTGCATGAGGCCTTGAACTTCATAGGAGTCTCTCCTTTTCATGAAAAGCTTGGCGTTTCTCCAAAGGACTTGTATATATTATTAAATTTGCTTTGGAATTAATGAATGGTATTATAGGTAGAAACCATCATTCCAATCTTATTCCAGTGGTACTACTATATGGTCCTATCAAATGCTCCAAAAAACAATCCTCCAAATGGCTACACACCAAAGAGATATGAGAGAGGACTAACATAGATATATGTTCCTTTTAGCTAGTCATATCCCATATGCATGATATGATTGGGATATGTGTTTTATTTCTTATATATCCATATTACCAGCCTTGCACTGCGCTCCACGGCCAGCTTGGGAGCCCCCCGTTGCACAAGGCCTTTTTTGCTGTTACTATGGGAGATTCAAATACTACTTTTTTTTGTTTCTTTCTCCAAATAATCTTTCTCTTCTCTCTCTCTCTCGTTAACGATTCTCTTTTTTAATTAATTTTTGTATGCAAACTATAGTAATTAATATCCTAGCAAGCGCTTTTGTCCAAGATAAATAATTATAACTAGCTAACTAAGCTTTCTCTGTAGTCGGCGGTGATGATAAAACAATAATAATTAACTAAATAGACGCGTTTTTTGAAGAATATATATATTTATATGTATGTATGTTAGTATAATAGTATGTATGAACTTTATTTAGTGCCATAGCTAGAGGGTACTTGCTAAATAATATTAAAAACTATAGTTGCATGTAAAGTATACGATAATGAGTCTCAGTCACGCGTAACTAAAGAAAAGGTCAAGAAAGGCGAAATCATTGGGTTTACATACATAATATATATTATATCACTAGCTAGGTTCTTCGAAGTTTAAGGTCTCTTCAATTCCTGAAATTGCAATTGCCAACTTCACATTAGCAGAAAGTTAAGCAATTTGCATTGGAGTATGGCTATGGCGGTGCCACTCTAGTACGACTTTTGTATGTAATTTATTAGTCCCACTTCCCAGAACTCTATGTCTTTGTTTTGGTGCTAAGAAATTTCTAAGTAAGTGGATTGACGTTGGAGTTCGAGAAGGATGTGAACCGAGGGAGGCGTGACACCATAAAGTTTTTGGGTTATATACT